CGCCCCGGCCAGGCGGGGACCGGGGGCCGCGCGGGCCGCGGAGCAGCGAGGGGACTTCGGCCAAGCGACTGGAAGCGGCTGGGAAATGGCCGCGTGCACGGGGAGCCCCGGCCGGGCGCGTGTCGTCCGCGTTCCTGGCGATAAAGACACCCGCGTTACTCCCCAGACGAGCGCGCAGCCAGAACAGGCCCCGAGGAAAGTGCCGGGGCCGGGAGGGGCGCATGCCTGGGGCCCCGGGTTCGACTCCAGCACCGCAGGAGCAGAAAAGGCCGGGAGTGGCGCTGTGGCTCAAGGGGTAGAGCGCCAGCCTTGAGCCGAAGAGGGTCAGGGGCGGCGCCAGGCCCAGAGTTCACGTCCACACGCACATACACACACACACACACATGCGCATACACGCACACACGCACACACATGCACACACATGCACACACAGGTAGGATGTCTTAGAATAACAAGCAGTAGTTGGGATGGGACAGGTGTGCTGCGGTTTCAGTTTAAAGGGCAGCAACCAGTAGCAAGGAGGGGGGGAAGGTGCTGGAAAGGGAAGGCACTAGGCACCAAGCGGTCTTGGCCCAGGTCCCCGCCCGGCCCTGCTGTACCTGGGCTCACTGCTGGGCAGCGCCAGGCTGCCGCTCCCGCTGCCGCAGGGCCTCGAGACCCTCCAGGTCGGGCGGGTGGCAGTGGCCCCGCATCACCATCACGCGCCGGCCCTGTGTGATGGCGCGGCTGCGGCAGCCCAGCCGGGCCTGGTCCCGGCACATCCAGTACACCTTCTCGCCAGCGGCCTTCTCCTTCCTGTAGAGGAAGCACTCGTGCACCAGGAACTTGCCCCCGAGGGACGTCCTCAGGAACTCCAGGGGCTGCAGGGGCTCTGGAGGGGGATGGAGGCAGGGGGCGCTCAGTCCTGGCGACAGGGTGGGTGGCCTGTCCCCCGGGCAGGAAACGACCATCCCTCCTTGCCCCATGCTAGTCTCTGACGCCCAGGCCTCTGCCTGCCCCCTGGCCCTGGTCTGATCTGGTCTGGGCATCTAAGACCTCACCCCCCCAGTCCCCCAGTGCCCATCCACCTCTCCACTAATTGGCAACCAGGCAACTCCCTCAGCCTCTAGGGAGCTGCAGGAGAGATCATGAGGTGGGACCAGCATGGGGGGGAAGCTGAGGCTGAGCACGTCCAGGGTTGCCCATAATGCCATGCAGGCCGCTGCCCCCTTTTCTAGCAGCCGGCTGCTTTCTGGCACCACATCAGGGCCAGTGCCCGAGCCTGGTGCAGCCCCAGCTCTGAGCTCTCGGCCACGAGGTGGCCACGTTCTGGGGCAGGCGGGCAGGGTGAGTGTGTGCAGCAGGGAGACGGTCCCGCCGCGCCGCCCGCGCCCGCCCGCCCGCACCTGGGCCTTCCCACTGGGACAGGTTGGGGAAGTGCTCCCGCTGCCGCAGGGCCTCCAGGCCGCCCATGTCGGGCGGGTGGCAGTGCCGGCGCATCACCATCACGCGCTGGCCCTGCGTGATGGCGCGGCTGCGGCAGCCCATGCGCGCCTGGTCGCGGCACGTCCAGTACACCTTGTCCCCCGCCGCCTTCTCCCGCCGGTAC